TGTGCGCGAACGTTGTCTTTGTGAGCGTGTCGCCGCTCAGCAACTTGCATTGCTCTAAGTGCGGCTACTCCGTCAAGAATGCCTCCAGACGTAACCAAGAGAGCCTGCCGCTGCCAGCAACTGCCGGAGTCGTCTATCTCTTCTTCTGAAGGTTTCAGGCTTAGACAGACTCGTGCGGCTTGCGCGTAAACAAAAAACTGTCCTGCCACTTCGAAGGCTCACGTAAACCTACTAAGTGGCACGACCCTCAGTGTTGCAAAAGCACGACTTATGACTGACCATGCCAAAAGCAAGCCTCGCCCCAGGCCACAACGGACCCATCGCCTAGAATAGCTGCAAAAGCCTTGCTAGTAGCTTGGATTTGCTGCACGTCCCTCAGCCGAGATTGCGCATCACTACTGTCGCCCCCACAGTCAGCATCGCCCCAGGTCACAACAGATCCATCGCCCAAAATAGCGGCAAAGGCCTTGCTGGTAGCCTGGATCTGCTGCACGTTCTTGAGTTGATACTGAACATTACTGCTGTTGCCGCCATTGTCAGCATTGCCCCAGGTCACAACAGACCTGTCGCCCAAAATAGCAGCAAACGCAAAGTCAGTAGCTTGAACTTGCTGCACTTCTTTCAGCCGAGTTTGCACATCACTGCTGTTGCCGCCATTGTCAGCATTCCCCCAGGTCACAACAGACCCATCCCCCAAAATGGCAGCAAAAGCCTTGCTGGTAGCTTGGACCTGCTGCACGTCTTTCAGCCGAGTTTGCACGGCACTGCTGTCGCCACCAAAGCGCGCGTCGCCCCAGGTCACAACAAGCCCATCGCCCAGAATGGCAGCGTATGCACTCCCGGAAGCTTGGATCTGCTTCACGTCCTTCAGCTGACCCTGCACAGCACTGCTGTCTCCGCCACACCAGCCAAAGCCCCAGGTCACAACAGACCCATCACCTAGAATGGCAGCAAAGGCCCAGTGAGATGCTTGGATCTGTTGCACGTCTTGCAGCTGAGCTTGAACGCGCCTGCTGTTGCCACCGTAGTGGGCATAGCCCCAGGTCAGAACAGCTCGATTGCGCAGGATCGCAGAGAAAGCCCCACTAGTAGCCTGGACCTGCTGCACATCCTTCAGCTGACCTTGCACGGCAAAGCTCTCTCTCCCACCATACTCAGCATCACCCCAGGTCACAACGGACCCGTCAGCCAGAATGGCAGCAAAAGCAAAGTCGGTAGCTTGGACTTGCTTCACACCCTTGAGCTGATCTTTCACATCTCCACTGTCGCCGCCAAAGTCAGGATGGCCCCAGGCCACAACAGACCCATCGCCCAGAATGGCAGCAAAAGCTGCGTTCGTAGCCTGGATCTGCTGCACGTCCCTCAGCTGCTCTTGGATGGCGCTGCTGTCACCACCGCAGTCTGCGTCGCCCCAGGTCACCACCGACCCATCAGACAGAATGGCGGCAAAAGCTCCAGAATTGCCCCGAATGCGAACGCTGCTTATCTGCATGGTAAGCGTGTCGCCACTCTGCAGCCTACATTCCTCAAGCGTGGCTGCTCCGTCCAGAAGACTTCCAGACGAGTCCAGGAGTCTGCCCCTGCCAACTGACAAGGCCTCCTGGGCTCTGCTCTTCAGGGTATCGAGGAGCTCATCCGGTCCTGCTTCCAGCAACACCGACCTGCCACTTAGCAAGCTCACCTCGATGGTGATTGGCATGACCGGCGCACGAGTCGAACTTCTGGGTTGGGGAGTCAACTTTGAGGCTTCTTCAGCTGCCGAGCCGGTGAAAAAAGGTAGACCCAAATCCAGATACCCAATAGACCCCAACCCTGAACCTCCTCAACATTCTGAACTTGCCCGCATCTGCTCCACCTCATCTCCCCTCAATGGGAGTGTCAGGGGCAGTAGCTCAGGGTTCAGGACTTTAGAGTTTAGTGGTGTCACTGGGGCGAGGGTCTGAGTCTAGGTGAAACCCCCAGTCCCCCGAAGAGGCTTCGGGCTTGGGCCCAGCCAGGGGCCCCCAAAGTATCTCCGGTCCTAATGATACCTTCTACTTGAGGCGTCAGATTCTTGGGAACACCAGGCGGGGGGGGGGCCCTCATTTCTCTTCGGGGGTTGGGTGTGGAGGCTTATCAGGCTCCGGGTTTAGGAGATCTTCATGGGGCTTGTGAAACGGGAGTGAAGTTGGTTAAGCAAGCCGTCCGAGGCTGACGACAGCCATAGGCCTTCCGGCGAAACAATCAGGTGTTCAGATGAAAAACGATGGTCCCAGAAGCCAATTTCCAAAGCCCCTTGAGGCGCTATAAGCGCCGGATAGGGGGGCCGCGGGGATTCCCCAGTACACCCTAAACCCCAAACCCCAAACCCTAAACCCTAAACCCTAAACCCTAAACCCTAAACCCTAAACCCTAAGCCCTAAACCCTAAACCCTAAACCCATCTGGCAGCTGTGCCTTCATCGCCGAGTGAGGGGCTTGCGACTGGGCTCTGCGGCGCCTTGCTGCATTCTTTCGAGGCGCTCAAAAGCTAGAATGTAGGCATATTAGGGTACAACATGGTATATTATACTATATTCTGGTATATGATGGTACATTCTGGTATAGATTGGTATATCATACTATATTCTGGTATATTCTGGTACATTATGGTATATTATGGTATATTATACAATTATACTATATTCTGGTATATTCTAGTATATTATAGTATATTGTAGGGCTTGTTTAGGACTTGAAATTTTAAGCTCAGGGGGCTCCCAGAAGACATGCAATCACCTGACGCGAACACGCAAAGCAGGTTTACGTTCTTCGGTGATGGCGTTAGGGTTTAGGGTTTAGGGTTTAGGGTTCAGGGTTCAGGGTTTAGGCTCTTGTAAGGCCCGACTGTAACGCTGGCAATGTCTCAGACTTCTCAGAAAGCAGAAAAGACCAGCCCTGCAATCACTTAAGTCACTTAACCAGGAACTGCAGGCTGAACGCCTCCACCGCGTTCTCTGCAGCTTTGGCAGATTCTGCATCCTCGGGCAAGTGTGTATGGTAGCTACCCCCCACTCGTGATGAGGCCCACCTGTGGCACGAACTCAGAAATCTGAGCAAGGCATGTTCTCCGCATACTCCCGGAACCATAGGGTGTGCCCTGCTACTTGGAGGTTCATGGTACTTATCAATCAATTATAAGTGTACTTGTATCTGTACTTATAACCATGTTAGGGCACTTGAGGGGCTTATGAGTGGGTTATAAGTACAGTCATAATTGGTTAGTAAGTATCATAAACTTCTAAACCCTAAACCCTAAACCCTAAACCCCAAACGATTGGCTAGTAATATGGTGGGTACGGCAGGTCTCCTTCATCTCTTTCCAGCGCGACTCCCAGTCACCGCGGAGCATCTGGCCAACAGCGACCAACGTAGGGTTTAGGGTTTAGGGTTTAGGGTTTAGGGTTTAGGGTTTGGGTTTAAGGTTCGGGCCTCCTTAAAGGTACGGATCGTAGTAGGATGCCTCATCAAAAAGGTCCAACTGAGAGCTTCTGACTCGCGGCCAGCCTCCTTGGGGCTTAGGATTCCGAAGCTGTGTTCCGACTCATTCCTCTGAGATTCAGCCCTGCAAATCCTATACCTGCAGGAGCCTCAAATGCGTAACTATCGGGCCTTGTTGATACGAAGCCTCAGCATACAAGCTAACGCCACCCTCATGCTGACTTTGGTTCTGCTTGGGTGCTCGAAACTAAAACTTCCGATGCACCTGAACATCGCCACCACAGGCGGCCTGCATGGTTCGCACCTGAACGGGCTCTCTCTACTGGAAGGTGCATGGGTAGTTCTAGCTGGGGCCATGGGTAGAGGGTATCGGGGTATCGGGATATTGGTTTTAGCCCTATCTTCGGGGCTTGCCAACTTCTTGAGTGGCAAGTCGGGGTTCAGGGTTTAGGGAATTTTGGGGCTCGGTGTAGGGTACAGGGTTTAAGGGTCGATTTGGGGATGGAGGGCGTGGCTACTTTTGTTTTGGGATAAGGGGGCATGCCGCTGGACTTAGCGCTTTCATGTCTCATCGACCCGAAGGCTTCTTTGTGGTTCAGAATTAGGGCTTCGCGTTCAGGGCTCTGCGGGCCAATCTGAGGGTGGACTTAGCCCTCAACCCTAAACCCTAAACCTTAAACCCTAAACCCTAAACCCTAAACCCTAAATTTCGAGACTTGTGGTGGCTGCGAGGGACTGAGCGCAGCCCCGGAGCGTTTGCACACTTGGGCAACGTCCACCGAACAACAAGGGGGAGCTCCGTGTCAGCAACCTTTTCGAAGGCCCTTACCCTTGTGGAATTCCAGCGGCCATTCACAGAAGACAATGCTTGGGCAACCCTAAACCCTAAACCCTAGCACTAAACCCTATAGTCCCCTGCCCTGCCAGCCTCTGCCAAACCCTCAGCCATTTGCGCGCGAAGGGTCGCCACATCAGCTCCCAGCCTGCGAACGTGAATCCTCAAACCATACCTTGGGGGACAAAAATCAAGCCAACAATTGGGGATAATATGGGCATTTCCCAGATTAGGGAAGCCCGGATATACCCCAAAATATCACCACCCTTACTATCGGAACCCCCAAAAAGGGAACCATGCCCTATATAATCCCCATTGAGGTACATGAGCCATCACCTTTATGGTACATTTTTGGTCCCCAAGGTAAGGTTGGAGGCCCAATCCCAAGAATTCTAGTCCCAGGCTGGCCTGTCCCTAAACTTGGGATGTTCCCCCTTTTTCTAACAGTCCTTTATAGGGATTCCAGTACCCCCTTATAATCCCTATTCAGGACTGTTCGCAAAAGGGGGAACATCCCAACCCTAAACCGATATTTGGGGCAGCCCGCCTCTCGGCCAGCTCACCGCACTCCTCGCTGAGGTCCTCGCGGAGTTTCTCGAGGTCCTCCTGGCAGGCATACAGGGCTGCATAGGGGGGTGTTGAGGGTTTAGAGAGGGTTTACAGGGTTTTTGGGGCGTTTGGAGGCTTTATGGGGGGTTTAGAGGGTTTAGGGTTTAGAAGGGTTAGGGATTTGCGTTAAAATTAAGAGTGATACTAGAGATCGAAGCGGTGTTTGGGTTCAGGGTCCAGAGCCTTTAAGGATTTGGGGTTTGGGATGTGAAGCGGGCCTAGGGCATACAACGCCAGCTGAGAACTTCTGTGGCCAAACCAAACTGTATCAGAAGACGCCAAACACCTTCTAAACCCACGTCACCCATCCCCCTAAGGACCCAGACCCCAAACCCCTAAAGTCCTCACGGAACGCACAAGCACGAGCAACAGTCCTGAACCCTTCCTAGAGAATCCTAAACCCTAACCCTAAACCCGAAACCCTAAACCCTAAACCTAAACCCTACAAAAACACACATCCTTCAGAAGCCGAACATGGTAACTTCATGACCGTATACTATTCACACGCTTGCTCGAGGCAGTTCGCCTGGTTTCTGATTCCCTTCTAGCATTGCTTTTAGGGTTTAGGGTTTAGGGTTTAGGGTTTAGGGTTTAGGGTTTAGGGTTTAGGGTTTAGGGTTTAGGGTTTAGGGTTTAGGGTTTGGGGTTTAGGGTTTAGGGTTTCGGGTTTAGGGTCTATGCAAGTATATGTACAAAGGTCTTTTATGGAGGGTTTGAAAAAACACGCTAGGCAAAAAACTCTGAAAAACATACGTATAGGCGTGGCCCAGCTTCTTTGGTACATAAACCCCAAACAACAACTTCCCAACATGGCCCCTTTCTGGGCTGAGCCCTGCAGAGCCCTAAACCCGCAAAACCCAAAGACCTGCAGCCTAAGAGCACCGAAATCCCAAACCCTAGAACCCAAACCCGGAACCCTCGACCCTGAAACCTAAACCTAAGGGCAGTAGGCCTGAAGTTAACTAGACTGAGGCCGCGGCAGCGTGGGTGTCGACTGGCGGTGGCAGAGTCTGTGACCTGGTAATGGAGAGCGCCTGCCGGGGTGGTTTGAATCAAAACAAAAGAAGGAGTTTTGGTTTTAGAAAATCGGGCGACGCTATTCCCCCGGGTGACCGAATGTGTGTGTATATATATATATATATGCATATATATGTATATATAGCCATGTATGGCAGCCTCGCATCCCTTGTGAGGGTGTGAAAGGGGCTGATCTTGATGATGAGCTATTTCATCTATCCTAAGCCATGAGGTAGGGCCTGATGTTTCAGGAAGATGAAAGTTTTGGGTCTACGTTCCCTGAGCGTCGAACCACTACACCAGATGATGTCACACCGGCGGAGACCCCAGGGTTTAGGGTCTTGGGTTTAGGGTTTAGGGTTGAGTACTTCGGAAGCAGCACCCGCCGTGTCGAACACCAGAAACTGCAAACTACCTTCGGAGGGTTTAGGGTATAGGGTATAGGGTTTAGGGTTTAGGGGTTTAGGGGTTTTCTAGCGCCTTGGATCAATGCCCAGCCTCCATCCAGCCGCTGACTTGCGAGCGCAAGGCCTCTGCAAATCTACCGTGCAATCTGCAGACACATTGTCAGTGGAGGAGTGCACACCGGAATTTACAGACCGTTCATATCGCTCTCTTCTTTCACTCTCTTCTTTCGTTCAGAAAATGATATCGTGCTTCATTTAGTTTCCTTTCCAATCATTTGTTACTGTATTTTCATTGAGCAGGAAGAAGACCATAGGATACAACTGACATGAGACAAAGGCTGAAACAGTTTGGGTACCTCTTGTCTTCCTTGTCATGACGATTACTCAATACATTCTTGCATTATCCAAATCCAGTCAAGAAACCGCTACAAAGCCGCTCCTGAACTTAAAAGCTGAAACCCTAAACCCTAAACCCCAAACCCCAAAACCCCAAAACCCCAAACCCGAACAACAGCAAACAAGGTAGCAAAAACAACATTCAGAAGCCTCGCCCGGCCTGGAGCTCTGCCCGGTTGGAGGCTTCCGCAGACTCGCGCAGGGCGGCTTGGTCGCAGCGCAGCGCCTGCTTGGAGGTTCATGGCAATTAGTAACCAATTGAGCATTTTTTTTTTCATTGCGTGGGGTGTTGTAATGGCATGGGCATCCTACGCGGGCCTACGCGTCAGCTCATGTTTAGTAGGCGCGCGGCCTACGCGCGGAGTATGTTGTTGACGTGTGCCTATGCGGACCTACGCGGCAAGCATAGACAACCTACGCGGACCTACGCGCCCATACTGCATAGACTTGCCTACGCGGACCCTACGCAAACCTACCTACGTAGCCTTGCTCCTAGAAAAAAAACGCTGCTCAATGAGAACTATAACTGTACTTATAAAGGTGTACTTAGAACCCACTTAGAAGCCCCTTCAGTGCCATAATATGGTAAAAAGTACAGTCATTAGTACAGTCACCATTGGTTAAAAAGTACCATGAACCTCCAAGTGCCCGTTGGGGTGTTGTCAGGCTCTGGGTTTCTAGGGGGTTTTGGTCTTGGAGGCTGAAACCCTAAACCCTAAACCCTAAACCCTAAACCCTAAACCCTAAACCCTAAACCCTAAACCCAAAACCTAAACCCTGCGAGGTTTTTAGGCCTGAAACTGGGGGTTTGTAGGATTGGGAGTTTCAGACTCTGCTTTGAGGATCTCGGCCTCAACTGTTCAAGGAGGAGCTGGTCTCAGGAGCTTCGGGCTTCGGGTTCCGGGGGCTCTTGGCTCATGATACCTATGCAAAAAGACGGGGTTCCATTCAAAGACGCCTTGATCTGTATTCTCAACACAAGAAGTCCGAACGAGCTCTGGCACCCTAACTCCTAACCCTAAGCCCTAAATCCTAACCCCTGTATTCGCAACATCGGAAGTGTGCGTTCGAGGCCTCGAGCGCGGATGTCAGCTGATCGCGGAGGGCGTCGATGTCTGCGCGATGCCTGCTGTCCTGCTCTCAGCCCCGCTGACCGAGACCCTCAAACCTAAGGGGACTTTAGAAGCAAAAGCCCGCCAAACCCTCACGCCCCGAAATCCTGAGACCCGCCTTATCGTTTGGGGTATCTTTTAGGGGTTGTTTCGGGTCTAGGTTTAGGCTTCAGGTTTCAGGGTTGGTCAGCTCAAGATCCTCCAAAGACACTCCAGACGAGCCATGCCCCATGCCTGAAAACCCTCAGGACACAAGAAAGGCGGAGGGCGGAGGGCGGAGGGGGGGGGGCCTTTCATGGGGTTTGTAAAGCCGGGCCTACTAAAAATACTGAAAAGCAAAAATAACTTGCCGGGATACTTCAGGGCTTGTGGGGCTTGCGGGGGTGCCGGAAACATGTGTTTGCGGAGGTTTGGAGCTCTATGGCCGTGAGGGATGAAGGATTTAGGGGGTTTGGGGAGTTCAAAGGTTCAGCAGCTTAGGGCTTCCCCCCCCAAAACCCTTAAACCCCTAAACCCCTAAACCTAAACCCTAAACTCCTAAACCTAAACGCCTAAACCCGAAACTGGTTCAGTAGGGCCGGTGCCTCCTTCTGCAGTGCCTCCAACTCATTGAGTCGCCGCACCTGCAAGGGCACCCTGGAGAACACGCGTGCAGGGCATGAATTTGAGACATAGGGTTTAGGGTTTAGGGTTAGGGTTTAGGGTTTAGGGTTTAGGGTTTAGGGTTTAGGGTTTAGGGTTTAGGGTTCAGCATCTCAAGTCCAAGCATTCACTAGTCAAGAAATTATTACTCCAGAAAAATACCCACCCGCCCGAAGAATCCCACAACATTAAGAAAATATTTCACTTATGGAACGACCTTGCCCAGTAAAAAAATGACCTTGCCCAGTACAAAAAAAAAACAGTAAAAAAATGACCTTGCCCAGTAAAAAAATGACCTTGCCCAGTAAAAAATGACCTTGCCCAGTAACAAAAATGACCTTGCCCAGAAAAAATGACCTTGCCCAATAAAAAATGACCTTGCCCAGTAATGACCTTGCCCAGTAAAAAAAAATGACCTTGCCCAGTAAAAAAATGACCTTGCCCAGTAAAAAAATGACCTTGCCCAGTAAAAAATGACCTTGCCCAGTAAAAAGATGACCTTGCCCAGTAAAAAGATGACCTTGCCCAGTAACATTTTTACTGGGCAAGGTCATTTTTTTACTGGGCAAGGTCATTTTTTTACTGGGCAAGGTCGTTTTTTTGGACGAAACGACCTTGCCCAGTACAAAAATGACCTTGCCCAGTAAAAAAATGACCTTGCCCAGTAAAAAAATGACCTTGCCCAGTAACTCCTTAACATTTAAATTATATATGAAAGAGAGGTTTAGGGTTTAGGGTTTAGGGTTTAGGGTTTAGGGTTTAGGGTTTAGGGTTTAGGGTTTAGGGTTTAGGGTTTAGGGTTTAGCCCTTCCACTTGTACTCGGGTCTAGCGCTTACAGGGTTTGGAGTCTAGGGTTGCTTAATTAAGCGCCTAAATGGGCCAGTGGCCAGCAGCCCTCATGCGCTTACACATCCAAGGTCACACGTTTACAAAATTTAGAAGGTTCGGTGTGCCGTAACCCTATAAATCCATTGAACCCCAAGACTTCCCAACCTCTAAACCCTAAACTCTAAAGTGCCCCAACCCCCCTAAACCCGAAACCCGAAACCCGAAACCCTAAACCCTAGACCCTAAACCCTACCCCCTAACCCTAAACCCTAAACCCCAAACCCCCCCAAAAAAGGCTTCGAGACCAATCCTGGAGCTCTTCCACCACGAATCGCTGCAGATCCACCCTGCCACCCCGAGAGCAGTCGGTCTCGGGGTTTAGGGTGTTTAGGGTTTAAGGTTTGGGGGTGTTTAGGGTTTAAGGTTTAGGGTGTTTAGGGTTTAAGGTTTAGGGTGTTTAGGGTTTAAGGTTTAGGGTGTTTAGGGTTTAGGGTGTTGGGTGTTTAGGGTGTCTGAGGTGTCGTGGGTTTGTTGTTTGGGGTTGAGGGTCAAGAGGGTTTGGGGACAAAAGGGTGTTGCGCTTAAGCATGCGTTTGTGCGGATTGTCTCGAAGAAGCTCCTTGGAGACAAACTACGCGGGCATGAACTAATCTGATTTCAATGGTGGTAAAGACCGTAGCGCTTCCCCGAACTCGAGCTGGCTTGCCAGGGGAGCAACGTACGTCAACTTAGCAAGGTGTCTGTATGGTTTTCCCTGGATGCTTTGAGCAATCGCAGGGCTGCGGTACGGCGCTCTAGTGCTTGCAACCGCAACTAGGGCCTTTAGGCAAAAGATGATGCGATTTCCCAAGAAAAGCTGGACACGGATTTGACTGCACGAGGCACGTGAACAGAACTTCACAAGCTGTGTGTGGCAGAGTGCACAGAAAGACTGGCCATGACACTTGAGCTCAGGGAGCTGAACTTCGTAAGCCCAGATGTCTTTCAGAATGGAGTTGCGAAGCTGCTCAAGGCACTACATTGATCGGCACCAACCACCCTACATCAAAAGTGAAAACGAAATACGTTTCCAACAGAGACACGCAGCACTCATCTGGTCCCAAGTATGTGCACGCAGCCACTTCTACAGGAGATGCCCAAACGGAGCACAAAGTACGAAACAGCGCCACTGCGGCTCCTGTTGCAACCTCGGGAAAAGCCAAAGCCTTTATCAGCTGCTAGCATCCCAAGTCTGCAAAGAAACAGTTGCAAGGTGTAGGCATGGGGCTCTGTGAGGGAAATGCTTGGCCGATTCCAAGTGATCCTGCCTATGGCAATGAAAAGCTTCTGCAACGTTGTTTGCGGGTAAGGCTGCGAAGGGCCATCACTGCCTGTTTAGGGTTTAGGTATTATAGGGCTTGGGGTTTACGGATCAGGGTAAAGGGCTCAGGGATTTAGGGGCTTCACCGGAGGCCTACCGGAATGAGATTCTTTGCCCTTTCTGACGTCTCGTGTAACATGTTCAAGCCATCGACCCCCACGCCCTACATCAACGGTGGCGCGGGGCTTACAACATATAAACTGAACCCTAAAACCCTAAACCCTAAATCGTAAACCCAAAGCCCTAAATAAACCCTAAGCCCTAAACCCGAAACCCTTAACCCTTAAACCCTAAACCCTAAACCCTAAACCCTAAACCCTAAACCGGGGGTTGTTAGGCTTCATGGGCTCTAGAGGCTGTTTCTCCAGCCTCAGGTTCGCTTCGATCTCCTTTTGCAGGCGCCCCTGCGAGAGGGCTTTAGGGCTTAGAGTTTAGGGTGTTTTTTTTTTTTTTTTGGGGGGGGGGGGTTTGGGGTTTAGATTAGGGGTTGTCAGGGCTTAGGGTTTGGCGGGGGTTTAGGAGTTTCGGGATTGTAGGGTGTAAAGGCTTCAGGGCTCGGAGAGCTTTTGGCCCTCGGGCTTCTGGGCTTCGGACTTCATTGGGGTCTAGGCTTCGGGCCAAGATAATTCGGGCCACCTTCTTGGGATCCTTATCGTACAGGAATCCTGCGATTTGGGGATCTATATTGGGGGTCCCCTATTCTCGCAAACGCCCCTATAAACCTTAGGGGACACCATTTGGGCTCTTCGGGATAGGAGCCCACCCACACGTGAGCTCAAGGACGAAAATGCGCATATGACGTCCACCTTTGGAACTCCCCTAAACCCTAAACCCTAAACCCTAGCTCCCAATTAAACCTTTTACGTGGACCCTGAGGCCCTAAGTAAACCCTGACAACCCTAAACCCCAAATGTTTGGACCCCTACCCCATGTCATGGATGGCATACCCTAAACCCTAAACCCTAAACCCTAAACCCCAAACCCCAAAACCCAAACCCTAAACCCTAAACCTTAAACGCTAAACCCTAAACCCTAAACATGGCCTGCAGGCTCTGCATCTCGAGTATCTCGCCCGACATCCTGGCCAGAGTTGGGTTCCAGGCTTGCGGTTTAGGGTTTGGGGTTTGGGGTTTAGGGTTTAGGGTTTAGGGTTTGGAATTTGGGGTTTGGGGTTTGGGGTTTAGGGGTTTAGGGGAAGCCATGGGGCTATTGAGGGCTACAGGGCTGTAGGGCTCTAGGGTTAGGCATCTTGAATTCCCAGCCAAGTCGAGAGAAGGACCCGGGACTCGAAAGACATAGCCAGCAGAGTCGCGAACATGGAAGAGCCTTTGTCAATGTCATCCGCGTTCTTGGAGGATCAGCCAGCAATTCGCAACCTTACATCCTGAAAGACAACCCTCGAAATACTTGGAATCAATGCAAATAGTAAATGTCGCCTTTGCTAACTTGCTCATCTTCTCTTGCTCTGCTTGCTTGGTTTGCAGTAGCAATGCCTGCAGCCATAGCTGCAACTCGCCTAGGACCTTGTTTTCGTGACATGCATGGCAAGGAGTCTGATTCCTCTGCTAAACCCTAAACCCTAAACCCGAAACCCTAAACCCTAAGCCCTAAACCCTAAACCCTAAGCAGTTTTCCTAACATGGCGTGGGCTTGTGCCGCCCAAAGGCTTGCCTGACTCAGTCAGATTTTTATGTGGACAGGCCTCTGCCCGCCTTAGCCCTGAAGCCCTGTCAAAATGTCAACTTACAAGGTATGTTTTAGCAATGGGTGGTCCATACAGCGCAGGAAGCAACACACGACCCTGGCTTCGAGATAACCTCAAGCACGTAACTCGAGGAAATTTGTGCCGCACGTATGGTCGCTAATATAGTACCTGCGAGAAGGTGTCCTTGCCATCTTGGTGGACATTGATGCAGAGGTTTGCTCCGTGTTTTCCACCTGCCAGCCATCTGTCTGCAGGATAGTAGGTAGCGTCCGGCAACATGGGGCTTGTTCTAAATCAGGTTCCCTTTGTGTGGAGATTGTTGAAGACTTTTCCCATACAGGGTAACCTGGAAGAACCTCCCACCAGGTGTCGCCTGATCCTTGCGCAGCTGATCCAAGCGCTGATCCATATTTGCTTCATTCTCCTGCTTTGGACTTGGATCCGTTTCCTCGGGGTAAACATTTCACCCGTCGGGTTCAGCAACAAGTGCACGTACCGGTCGACACACGAACCTAGATGTGCTGTAGTGCCAACACAAGGCCGTTGTCTACAGAGAACTGCTTAAGGGATACAATGTATGTGTATGAATATACAGACCTGAGAAAGTCCTTACCATGTGTATGTATATTTGTATACATATATATACATATGTATATGCAGATCCACCTAATGAAGCCCCTATCTGTCCAAACAGCTCCCCACGAAAAAACCCTGGGGTCCCTCAGTCAGTCCAAGGGCCCTTGTGGCTGCACATGATGCAAAGAACCAACTTCAACCTCTGGGGGTCAGGCTGGAGCCCTAAACCCTGAACTAGCAGCACTGCTAGACATTGCAAAGGGGGGGGGTGCGAGCACTGCCTCTACTCTTGCAAAAACCGTAATCCAGCCGTTGCTTCGGACCCTTCTACCGCGCAGGAGCATGCAAAGCAAGATATTGAAATATCATCTCGGCCTCCAAGCCTTAAGCATCCCTGAACCCAGAAACCCCAAACCCTAACGTCTAAACCCTAAACCCTGAACCCTTCAAATCGAATCCTACACCTGTCAGATGTGACGAGCAGATCAGCTGCAGTCCTTCTGACGGCCCCTGGCGCGGAGTAGGAGTAGTAGTAGTCGTCGTCGTAGTACATCATAGTACATAGTAGTACATAGTAGTACATAGTAGTACATAGTAGTACATAGTAGTACATAGTGTGTACATAGTAGTACATAGTAGTACATAGTGGTACATAGTAGTACATAGTAGTACATAGTAGTACATAGTAGTAGTGGTCGTAGCAGCGCTTGAACACAGGAAAATGTAACATGTGAAAAGGTCCTGCCGAGGCAGTCATGGGAAGGAGCAAGCTTGATACTGGAAGAAACGATGCTGGGATAGGCCAAGTCGTTTTCCATAGCCTTCAGGGTCTAGATCACAAGAAACAACGCGTTGATGCTTGGGATTTCTTGCTTCTTCAGACCTGCAGAAAAACCTGGGAAGACGGGGAACACTGCGCCAAAACATAAAACCCCTAAACCCCAAAGTCTCCCCTCCCCTCCCCCCCACCCCCAAAAAAAATCAATGAATAATAATAATAATAATACTAACAATAATAACAATAATAATAAGAATAACAATAATAATAAAATAATAATAATAATAAAAACTCAAGATCCCTCGAAGATCGGCCTCACCAGCTCGATATCCGAGCAAACCGCGGCCAGCGCATCGAGAACCTCGCGCTGCTCCTGGCTGGGTTTAGGGTTTAGGGTTTAGGGTTTAGGGTTTAGGGTTTAGGGTTTAGGGTTTAGGGTTTAGGGTTTAGGGTTTAGGGTTTAGGGTTTAGGGTTGAGGGTTGAGGGTTGAGGGTTGAGGGTTGAGGGTTTAGGGTTTAGGGTTTAGGGTGCACTTTGTGTTCAGGGCTTAAGTTCGGGGAGGAGTCGGGTCTAGGGTCCTTCCGGAGTGGCATGTGTTGGCTCAAGGCTGAATGTTTGGGGTGTATTGTTTAGGGTTGAGGTTTCGGGGGTTGTACATGAGGGCCCGCTACAGAGTCAACACGGCCATGAAGCATGTTTTTGCGTAAGGTGCGAAAGCTTCATCCCTGAATCCCTTAAACCCCTGGTTCACTTAACCCCCAACCCTGAATCCCTGATCCCGAAGCGCTGAATCCCTAAACCTAACTAAACACAAAACACTGAACAGTACACTAACACTCAAGCACTAAACCCTGAAACCTATTCTCCACTTAGAAACATATGAATGTATTAATGTATGTCCATGGCAAGTTCCACATATGGCTGCAGGCTTGGCGCCCTGTTGCAATTTAAGGGGTCTCGCGTTCCCGGACGACATCGCTGGCTTGGATGCCCCTCAACTGCACCAACGCTTGTTTACCTGGTTGCTGGGGTGATGTACTTTTGTGTTTGGGGGCGGGGGTTTAGGGTTTAGGGTTTAGGGTGTAGGGTTTAGGGTTTAGGGTTTCAGGGGCGAGTTGCATTTTGTATTTGTAGGCAGGGCTTCTTCGTAACAACACCAAAACTACAGAAACCCGGGGGCCTTCTCCGCCCTGGTCGCCATCTCCGTGGCAGCGGTGGCAAGCCCTTGGCTCAGCTCCTCGTTTGTTCTTAGGGTAGTTACATGGTCCCTTAGTATTGGCCCTTAATGGGGACCCCTTATATACCCCTTATATACCCCATGCACATTAGGGGTGAAACTACCCTTACAGTAAACTTGTGGAAAGACTTGCAGGGCTTATATAGGGCTTATATAGGGCTTAGGATGCTTTCGGGTGTTGATGAACTAGGTTCCTAAGTTTCCAACTAAGGAAAACCATGAAATTGCTTGTTCCAAATGGGCTGCCTTGAAGAAACCATACCCTGAAGGCAACAACTAAGTTCTAGTTAGAGCTGGAGACTGGAGACCCTTGGATTGAGGCTTTGATGCGAAGGCTCGTCGGGGGTTTCGGGTTTCGAAGGTTCGTTGATGTCCTGCTTGAGAGGGCTTGCGGGGGGCCAGGGCGCTTGTAACCCAGAATAGCTTTGGGTCAAAAGGTTTGAAGCACTTGCCTCCCGACCCCCCAGTCTGTTCACCCCTCACGTGGCCAGAACGCCTGCAAATCGAAATAGAACCCTCGAACCCCCCCCCCCAAAGAGCCAAAGAATCTGATCGTGCAGCAGGAAATGAAGGAAGAGGACCTGATCGCCCATGAACCCAAGAAGCCCCCCCATAGCTTGCAGGATTAGTGAAGGGTTTCCGGCTTACTATTGGGGGTCGGAGAAAAAAAACGAATCATCTTCCCTTATGGTCCCTTTAGTACTATACCATAATAATACCCAAAACCCTATGCTAATTATTTACGCCCCTAGACTAAGGGTCTTAGCGCCCCCTAAACCCTAAACCCTAAACCCTAAACCCTAAACCCTAAACCCTAAACCCTAAACCCTAAACCCTAAACCCTAAACCCTAAACCCTAAACACTAAACCATAAACCCTAAACCCTAAACCCTAAACCCTAAACCCTAAACCCTAAACCCTAAACCCTAAACCCTAAACCCTAAACCCTAAACCCTAAACCCTAAACTAACCCTAAACCCTAAACCCTAAACCCTAAACCCTAAACCCTAAACCCTAAACCCTAAACCCTAAACCCTAAACCCTAAACCCTAAACCCTAAACCATCTCCTGCCACTGGCGGTCCAGGTCATCGCGCACGGCGAGAAAGTCCGAACCCCGCTCCGTCCGCTCGGCCTATGGGCTGATGGGCTCGGGAAAGTTTAAGGGGTACCCCGCACCCCGATCCCTAAGGCCTGAACCCCTGCACTCCGGCCACCCCCTCAACCCTAAACCCTAGCCATATACCACAATATACCTCCAGCTACACCCCAAGCCCTCTCAACTCTGAGGCCAAAAGACCCTCTAGGCTACAAGCTCGGCACAATCAGCCAAAACACCCGTAATATTGTAAACCCTAAACTCTAAACCCTAAACCCTAAACCCTAAACTTTAAACCCTAAGCCCTAAGCCCTAAGCCCTAAACCCTAAACCCTAAACCCTAAACCCTAAATCCTAAACCCTAAACCCGAACGAAACAGACCTTAAGCCCTAAACCCTAAACCCTGCAAGAGGATTTTGTGCACAGACACTGCCTGCATCTTCACCTCGAGATCTCCCAGGCCCACCCCTGGCTCCAGGCTTCTTGGATTCCTAAACCCTAAACCCTAAGCCCTAAGCCCTAAGCCCTAAACCCTAAACCCAACTGGGTGTGGGGGATGTCTAGATCTTAGCAATTGGGTTTAGGGCTTTGGGGTCATTTAGGATTTAGGGTTTAGGAGTTTGGGGTTTGCGGTTTAGGGGCTTGGGGGTTTTAGGGTTTAGGAGTTTGAAGTTTAGGAGTGCGGGGCTTGCAGGGCTTACGGGGTGTGTGAGGCTTTTAGATGCGGAGTTTCTGGGGCAGAGCGTGTTTGGGGTTGAACGTTTAGGGGCTTAGGGTTGAGGGTTGAGGGCTCAGGGTTTGTAATTGTGGAGCACAGGGTGTCGGGCCCAATCAAAAAACCCTCCGGAAACCGATTCCCCCGTTGTGCACAGTATTCTTTCTGTTCGCGTTGTCCTTCTTGCTAAAACCACCTAACCCTGAATCCTAGATATTCTTACCTGGGGGTTGACGAAAATGGACCCACAATATAGATCCCACATAGTAGGATTCCCATATGATGAAGACCCCAATAAGGTACCCCTCATTTCGGAAACCCCCTAACCCCTGACCCCTGACCCCTGACCCCTAACCCCTAAACCCTAAACCCTAAACCCTAAACCCTAAACCCTGATCCGCTTTCTTTTAACGAATAACCGGTGCCGAGGAACGCAGCCGGGCTTCGAGTTCGGACAAGGAGGATCCCGTCCTGCCAGCGAAACGTCCCAATCCTCGTGAGGTTTAGGGTTTAGGGTTTAGGGTTTAGGGTTTAGGGTTTAGGGTTTGGGACAGGGCTCGTACGGTTTAGGATGTCGGAGGGTTCCCAAGCCCTTAGGGGCACAGAGCTTCTAGGTAGGGTTTAGGGGTAAACAGTTATCTTGCTCCTTGCCCTTCCATGGAAACCTTTTGCAGGATCGAAGGAGCAGCTTACCGATCCCATGCTTTTTGAACTTGCTTCCACATGAACCGCTTCTGTGAGCCATTTTCGCATTAACTCGTACCATTTCTGCCGTGGAAGTCCTAGGCACAACACATTCAAATTTACAGCGAAACCACTCTATAAGCAATGCAGCCACCTTTCAGCCAACAGACTTAGGCTACCCAAGTGTGGGCCAGTTTCTTCAACTTCTGTGGCGCCGTGGCTATCGTGACTTTCCAGATGCCACGGTCATTGGCTCGAATCCCTGCGAGCACATCCTCCCAACGAACTGCGCTATACTTTGTGAGCCAACCCTTGACCCTTGGTACCTCCTATCTGATACGAGTCGTAGGGCACCCTGCGCACGTGAAACCGCGTTTAGTGTAGAGGTTTCATTGCCATTGGTGTCATTTGATAACTTGCTATGGCAGGCCTGTGGGTGCAAAGGTCTAGGTACTTGCAGGGCGCAAACCGACTGATCCAGATTCGACTCAGCTTACGAAGAATTTCCATATTCCCTTGAAGAGACGTTCGGGATTCGTGGGTCTCAACCCTCAACCCTCAACCCTCAACCCTCAACCCTCAACCCTCAACCCTCAACCCTCAACCCTAAACCCTAAACACTTCAAGTTCGGAGTTTGGGATTCGGTCGCATTTTCACGAGGTCGGATAGCCATCCTTGCTGGTCCTTCTGCTTGCTGCCAGAGAGGCTCGCCAAGGCTCATCCCTGAACCCTGAACCCTGAACCCTAAACCCTAAACCCTAAACCCCTAAACCCCTAAACCCCTAAACCCAAAACCCTAAATCCTGAACCCTAAAGCCTAAACCCTTATAGAGCTTTGTGAGGTTTAGGGCTGTTCACAGTTTGTAGGGTTTTGGGCCCTCTACTAACCCTTTTTCTAACAACCCAACACAACCCTAAACTTTACAGGGTTCTAAATTTCGTTTTCGGGCCCATAGGGCGTTAAGGGTTTATGTCGGGTTCAATGTAGAGCTTTGGGGCTCACGCGGTTTGAGTTTTGTCCGCCTTGGCCTGAAGGGTGGGAGGTGGGAGGGTGTGGGTGTGTGAGGTGGTGGGGTGGTGGGGTTGGGGGGAAGGGGGGGGGAGGAGGGGGAAGGGGGGGGAGGAGGGGGAAGGGGGGGGAGGAGGGGCGGTCGCAAGATCAACAACTCAGAAGAAATTCTGGACCGCACATGTTGGGTGTGTTCTTTGTGGGGACACGGGTAGATATGTTCATTCATTGGGATCGTTTTTCCATTAATTGGGATCGTTTTTCCAAAAGATAGGAGAAACTGCTGCACGTTGGCAACGACCGTGCCAAAGCGCTACTCTTCTGCACTATAGCTCGAAATCGTCCCTTGAAACTCATGAAGCTGGCTTGGCTGGGTGCTCCAGACCAGACAAAGACCATGCTGGATGACATGCAAGTGGCCTACAAGTCGCTGACTGTCAAGCAGTCAGAGAGTGCTACAGTGCTACCAGTGCTCCCGACAAGCCCAGCCCTCAAATGAAGCGTATGCACATAACCCCAAGAAAGCTGTGTCCGCCTATCCCATATAGCTAGGCCTTCTGTGATGCATTGCTGAAGCTCTTTGCCGACGTCGCAAAGAAGGATGTGGTTATGAACAACTTCTTGCTTCGAGCGAAGAAACCCAGCCAATTTAAAGTTCCTTAAACTTGCCCTTGTAAACTGCAATCCCTGATCCGCCCTAATTTCTGCTTGATCAGAAGCAAGGCCGATGATCACGGGCTGCACGTCGAAGACGGCTCCTGGCAGCAAGGCACCCAAAAAAGCGAGGAAGGAAAAGAAGGCTAAGGAGCCAACAACAAATAAGGAGCCCAAGAAGGGCACCGAGCCCAAGCCCAAGAAAAAGAAGGAGGTCTAAGTTACACCTGCTCGTTTCAAGTGTGCTGGTTTGCCTTGCAACGCGAAGCTAGGGTGATTCGAAGAGCGGGACTTAAAATTGCTAGCCTTTATGTCGATCTTTTGGTGCATCAATGCCGTTGCTGTGCAACCACCCGGTCTACCCCAGACCATGCTATCCAAATCGAGCTCTGTGAAGACCAGAGCGCATATCTCGATCTAGTACAGCTTAGCTGGGTCTTCGAAGCTTGCAGAACCTGCCCGGGGAAAGGGCAATCCGTCAGCGAGAAGAAAACAAAAGGATGGTGATTCAGCCCTGCTCGCCTGAGTACATGTGTTAATTTGAACTTACGTAACTGCAAAAATTATCGTTCTGCGCAGGTTACCTGAATGATGATCGAAGTGAACAACAACCTGGCAGACTGCTCAGCCTGGAACACGTTGTCGAAGCCTGCATCCCTCTGCCTTACACAAGTCGTCTCCTGCAGGCCCGGACGATGATGTGTCGGATTTTGATGATGACCTCGCCCATGAGCTGTTTATTGGTTTTGCAGAAGGGGCTTCTTGGCTCTTAAGTGCTGGGCTTGGGCCTATAAGTCCTAAGCACAGTTCGTTTTGCATCTATTGCCGAAGTTTGGACAGCAAAGGAATGATCCTGTGTTAGTTTTTTCTGATTTAAGGCAGATTCCGCTAGACGTGTGGTACGATTGGCGTGCGTGGCCGACACCAAGCTTCGAAGGTATGGTTGCTGTTCCGCGCTGGTACATATAAAGTTTGGTGTAACACCTGTGTGGGGGTTTTTGTCTTCCTCTTGGCTTCTTACATCTACCTGGAATGACTTTTAGGGCCCAACCCAAGTTTGTGCAGCTCTATACATGTGTCCATTTTACATTATATGTGGCCAGCGCCACAGCCGCATTGAATGCTGTATACTTCGAGAGCTGGCCAAATGTGGAGCCAGCCGGAAAAATGAATGTCGAGCACTGCACCGACTGATCCATCGAACATATCGCACCCTACCTGTACGTATTTCACAAGTGTCGACCCCGACTCGCATTCCCGGCAAGTCTGGACAGACTGTGGTAAACTACCCAGTACTGTATTTGTCTTCCTGGGCTCGTGAGGTTCTCTGTAATGGGTCTGGCAAGATGCTATTGGGAGGGTACACCATCCAGCAGAATTTCGTGCGATGTTCCGGACATTCTGGGAAAGCTTTAAATTTGTCAGGCCAGATCTCCCCATCTATCAAGAAGACACCTGGGATCATTCCTTTTGTATCCCCATGGTGATGAGGGCAGAAGCAAAAATCGTCGAGCACGGATGGTACTGGGCTACCAACCATTGATATCCTTCAAAGGACCAGGCTTTACTAATTCGAGTGGGCCAGTAGCCTGAAAGAACAACGCTAGAAAGCATATTGGGCGATCATTGGGTGAAAACTTATAGTGTAAGCAAACCCATGCGATCAATCCGTGCAGCCCAGGCACAGCTTCACGACGCGGATGCTGTACACTGTTGTGCCGGCCCAGCTGTATTATGCCCCAAAGACCATCGACACTTTGCATGAGGCAATGGTTCGCGACATGAATTCGTTGTACTTTGATGGCCTTTCTGACACTCGCCTAAATGCTCCATGGACCAAGCATCCCCACACGTAGACCTAGATCCCAAGGTCTCACCCCACACCAAGGTCTCGAGTGAGGGCACATCCTACACCTATCGCTTCGTTCCAGTCATGCTCAAAGGCGACTGGCCTTACCTTCGCTCTTCGATGCACTTGGCAGTGGGGTTCAATTGCAGTCGAAAGTGCCACCTTTGTGATGCAGAAGTGCCTGGATTGGGACTACATCGAAGTTTTTGTTGGCTATTAATTTCGATAAGGTGTCTGGTAAACACAAGAAACTTTTCCCCATACTAGTGGGCCAAGCTTTTTTTAATGGGGCGCCCCGTTCAGGTTCAGGCAGTATCCCGCTGGATGTGGGAAGGGACATGATGCAGCTGTGCTGGGAGCTTGGCTGCATGACGAGCTCCAGTTGGTTGATGAAACCACGATTGTTCCCTGGCCCTACACTCTATAGTTGTTGATTACCTCTGCTGGAACCCTATATTATAAACCCTAATTTGAAGCCTATACCCTATATATATATATATCTATAAACCCACTAACTCTAAAGCCCATCCTATATGCAACCCTGTATCGCATATAAACCCTATCTCGATCTTCACCCAGATTGTGTATAATTCTAATTTCCCTCGACCACACCCAGCTGAGGCTGAGCAGTTCTTGGACATATTCAAGCTGCTCCGGTGGACGTTGCAAGCAGTCAACCGGTATTGGCGCACCTTGTACAAGTACGGCGTGTGGCTGCCACGTGAAGTGACGCAAACTGCGCTGTATTCTAAGGAGGGATATGGGCAGCGGGCTGTTCATGCGGCCGACGTGGGGCGTCCGCTCTTCCGAATCAGACCTAAGTGTCACATGCAAGTGCGCTTGACGTTCCTTGGTGGGACCTACTGCAGGGGATACAGTAGGCTACGTTGTGCGAAACTAGCCCCCAGACCCACCCCCCAGACCCCCAAACCAGGCTCAATATGCAGCACCAAATGGATCGTGGAGCTCAGCACATCTCAAGTGCTCTCTGCTGCTAGGTGTGATTGAGATGGTTTTTCTCTGTGTGCTTTTCAAAGACATATGTAAAGTAACGGCCCATCCATATAGCATCATGAGCATCGATCTGAGGTTCAGCATGCTGGACAGACGAAGATTTCGTCGGTAGGGTTTCACGCCTTTCAAGGCGCACGCATGCAAAAACCACACCCCATAGAACGCTTTCCATGGCCCTCCTTCAGTATGGCCGACAGCACAAATTAATTGCTGTTCAGCTGAGCGGCTTCTCGACCACCGCGGCAAAGATTGTGAGCGCCACCAGATAATGTGCACGACTGCACGTGCTCTTTTTTGTAATTCGCGCTCCTTTATGTTTTTTGGGGTTATACCAGGCTATGTTCGTGCAACCCCAAAACCCCGTACGGAAAAAAGTGTGCCAAAGAAGGTTGGAAGCTTAGGGTAAGGAACTTAATTTAAGCCTGAGGGCTTTGGAAGACAACGACCGGCGGCGCAGTGCACGGAGCCTGAGGGCTTTGGAAGACAACGACCGGCGGCGCAGTGGCATTGTAGCACGGCACCTTTTCTTCCAGGGTTCAATAGAGGCATTTGTCTAGAAATCGTCTCTCAGCGTCCTAGGAAGTTCTCGATTTGCCATTGAACCCTGACAACCACACTCCTCAACCGACTATCACCACGGCCACCACCACGGACCACCACCACCGCCGTCACAGCAGCCCGCTCCTTGTCGCGCTTTCTGCCGCACTTGTCGCCAGGGCTTGACGACTTAGGAATCAAAGTTCAGGGTTTATCCGGTCTAGGTGCTGAGACGAGATAGCCCCAAAAGTTTTTCAGCGTCTTCTTTGCGAACGTTGCGCTCGATAAGCCCTAATACCCTAATACCCTAGTACCCCCCAATAGTAGGGGTGGTCCGTCAAATCCATCCCGAGCATTTTGTAGCCTTAAGCCTTAAGCCCTAAACCCTAAACCTTTTGTAGCTGAGGGTGATAGGGGCAGCCACATAGTCTGGGGAGCCGTTCTGCATTCGGTTCTTGGGAGACCATCATGATGAATATGGAGGTTTCCGAAAATAGGGGTACCCTTTTGGGGTTCCTATACCCTTTTGGGGTTCCCATAATAAGAATTTTACTTTTTCGGGATATATTAAGGGTACCCCCTATGTTTGGACATACCACTATGGGTTCTATGACCACGACCAGCTAGTTGGGGGGATCCTAGGTGCTGTAGATCAACCTTGAGCCCCTGCCAACATTCACAGTGAGGTTCCCAGAGTGGAGTTGATCTGAATCATGGGCCCTTCAGAGGTGAGTTTCGACTTCGTATGACTTCGTGTGCCATCCTATAAGCCCTGGCCTGCTGGGTCGCCGCAGCCGCTTGTTTTGGGAGAGCTTGGGCTCTGGCGGCCTCGGCCTCAAGGGTTCAGGGTTTAGGGCTGAGGGTTTCGGGGGGAAGGCTTGCGCAGCTGGGACATTTTAGGGTTGAGGGTTTACGTAGGGTTTGCAGGGCGTATGTAGGGCTTAAAGGGCTTCTAGGTTTTTTCGGGGCGAGGGTTGAAAGGGTTTAGGGTACCCCACACCCTAAACCCTAAATCCTAAACCCGACATCCTCAACCCTAAGCCCTAAGCCCTAAAACACTAAACCATGTACCCTGACCCCTCGCTCAAGGTGGCTCTGGCTCTTGTATCTGTATGTTCTTGTTTGGGGGTGCCAAGCTCTACCCAATGCCCCTACTATTCCCCCTCGGGCTTGCCTGGGGCTGTGGGGCTTAAATCCGGGTTTCGAGTTTAGGTCTCAACCCTATTTCGGGTCTCCCGGCCCGCGTCAAGAAGTCAGGGTGGCCGAACGCCGCTAGCAGCTTCTTTCCTCAGGCGTGGCGCGAGCTTGGTTATAGAGAGCATGAGCCTCAGAGTCCGCGGCGTTCGGGCTTCGGTTTTGAGGTTTGAGGGTTTAGGCTTCATTGAGGGTTTAGGGTAGAAAGCTTGCTGTGCGTTTTTGCGCTTAGGGGGTCTAGGTTCTCAAGCATATGAGTGGAGACGCAAGGACAGGACTGTAAACTCTACTATACAACTCGCGGATTAACGGGCTTCGGAGGACTAAGGGGCCCTCCCCAAACAAGCCTTCATAAGCTCTACGGAGTTTAAGGGTCCATGGGGTTAGATTAGCGCCACCTTCGGGGCATTCCGATCAAGCGCTTGCAGTGCATGCATTCATGAATACATGTTTTAGGGTTTAGGGCTTAGGGTTTAGGGTTAAATCTTTGCAATGTAGGCGTTCTGCATGTGAATGTGCGTGTGCATCGTCGTTGTACCTGTAGGCTGCAGGAGCTTTTGCTTGTGTTTGACACTCACAGTGTCACGGGAGCTCGTTAATGAGAAGCATCTTTCTCATCACCGGTCGGGATCTGGAGACCGTGGAGTTGACATAAACCCTAAACCCTAAACCCCAAACCCTAAACCCTAAACCGCCCACTGCACTCGGGGGAGCCAGGGGAGCCAGCTTCTCCCGATGTCTTGTTACTTCTTTGTATTCCTAGGTTTTTAGGATTAGGCGGCTTGGACTAAGGTCTCAGGGTATAAGGCTAGGAGTTGAGAGCAGTTAGGGTTTTAGCGGGTTGCGGTTTAGGGTTCTTGGGGTATTCTGGTTCAATGTCTATAGGGTTTCAAGGGTTTTGGGTTTACAAATGTTTGTCTATAAGGTCCCTTCAACACCCAAATAAGGAAAATATAAAATCTGCCACGAGCAAACCTATGCAGGTGATTGGCAGTCTTCTAGAACGCGTGGCCGGCGGTCATGAGATCTTCCCCCCAAAGTGATGGAGGACCCCCAAAATCATGACCTTTAAGGTCTTTGAACGCCAAACCTTTAGGAAATCCTAAGCCCTAAGCCCGAAGCCCTAAGCCCTAAGCCCTAAACTCTAAGCCCTAAGCCCTAAGCCCTAAGCCCTGAGCCCTAAGCCCTAAACCCTAAAGCCTGAACCAAAGGGCTTGGCGAGCTGCTGCGGCGGGGCGCATATGAGCCCCGAGGTCATACACAGTATTGCGGGTCCCTTTTTAGGCTACGCACGTCGGTAGGAGGAACTTGCAAACAAGACAGCACCAAGGAGCCCTAAACCCTAAACCCTAAACCCTAAACCCTAAACCCTCAACCCTAAACCCTACACCCTAGACCCCAAACCCTAAACCCTAAACCCTAAACCCTAAACCCTAAACCCTAAACCCTAAACCCTAAGCCCTAAGCCCTAAGCCCTAAGCCCTAAACCAAGTAGGGACCTTCATTGAACTCATTGGATGATATGGGCATGCGCGATACGCTTGCAAGTATACGAACCTTAAAAGGGACCACAATACCATATCGCTGGTGCAGTTCTGCACAGGTCGTCCCGTTTGGGAGCACAAAGCCTCATAGCACATGCTGCGGACACCCGAACACTGTTCCCGAAGCCCGGGATGTAGCGAGCAGAAGCCACTTAGGGCACGGAGGGATTGTCGGGCCTAGTTTTTGCGTGGCGGTTCGGGTGAGGCAGGGGTGGGGCAGAGGACCATGAGTGATCTGATTTCAGTAGGCTTCGGGAGCACGCTTGCTGGGACAGAATCTGTGAACTCGAGGCAGCATCAAACCTGGACTCGCTGGGAGCAAGCTATATATGGCCATTCCCCTCTTCGAGCAGTGCGATCTCCCATCGGTCTAAGATACATGCTTGAAATGCTCACCGGACATTTCGTAGGGAGGGTTTGGGATTCAGAACCAGCTATTCCATGAGACGGACCACCGAACTCCCAAAGTAAACTCCCCACGAAGTTTCCAGCAAGACAAAGACTGGGCCAGCAATGGCTGCCCGGAGGCTCCGACGACAATGGGAGGAGGCGGGGGGGGCATGTTAAGGTTTAGGGCTTCTGCTTCTGGGGTTTTGGGGTCTAGTTCCATGTCTATTCCCCCCCCCCTTACCCCCTAATGAACCCTAATCCCTCTTTCCTCCCAGACCCAAACCCCTCTAAACAGGAGCCAATGGAGTGCGGCCACACTTGCGGCACTGGGTGGTGAAAGTCTCTCTATTTGGCAATTAAAGTATGAAGCCCCAAGCAAGCAAGCAACAACTCTATGGACCAGGTGTTTAGCCCCGGCCTATACAAACCCTAAACCCTAAACCCTAAAAATCCTAAAAACCCTAACAACCCTAACAACCCTAAAAACTCTACACCCTGAACCCGAAACCCTAAACCCTAAACCTAAACCCCACAAGCTAGGGGCTTCTGGTCTCCGGATTCACCTCCTCACGGCCTTCCCTTGGGCATAGGTGCGACCCTGAGATACCATTTGGCGAACCTCGGCCAGGTTGCGTAGGGTTTTAGGGTTTAGGGTTTAGGGTTTAGGGTTTCGGGTTTAGGGTTTAGGGTTTAGGGTTTGGGGTTTGGGGTTTGGGGTTTGGCGTTTAGGGTTTAGGGTTTAGGGTTTAGGGTTTAGGGTTTAGGGCGTGCCAAACGGAAGCGCGCTTTGGGAGCGCGCGGTAGTCTGCAGACCTACCCACCCCAAGACCGCCCACTTACAACTCTCAAGGAGTTAAGACCTTTTATTTTTTTACGAAGCATCACATGAGTCAGCACTCACGCCCTTTTGGGGACCTCCACAAGGTGCGTGGACCAGGGCATTTGCGATGCGCAGACGGAAAGGCGAGGCAGGGTCAGCGAAGACAGCTTGGCTTGGGGCGAAGGGGCTAAGGCCAGGGATGGCCGGGCCAGGAACAGACACAGGCAGCAAGGCTTGGTTGGCGCGAAGGGGCTAAAGCAGGGAGGCAGGGTCAGGGGCTTGGGTTGGCGCGAAGCGAGTGGACAGTTTGGGTTGTGGACCAGGCCAAAACTGGTGTACGGACAGCGGGCTTGGCGCGAAGGCAAGGCCAGCAAAGCCAGCGCCAAGGCCCAGGCCCAGGCCCAGGCCCAGGGCCAGGGCCAGGGCCAGGGCCAGGGCCAGGGCCAGCCCCAGGGCCAGGGCCAGGGGCCAGGAGCACAGGCGGCCCGAGCAGCGGACGGGGGTGAGGGACCCAGGGTCTCCAGGGGCCCACCCAGAAAACCTCCAATGCAGAACCCAACAATGTGCGCTGGGGCTTCGGGGAAATAACAAACAATACAGTGACAACTGCTGACTCGGCCTGTGCCTGCCTGGAGGGTAAGCCAGCCTGGAGGCAAGCTCGGTCGCCCGCCTGGGGCTCCCTCGCAGGGTCTCACTGAGCGCTCGACCAGCGCTCGCCTACCCCAAAAGACAAGAGAGTGGGGTGGCGGGCGGGTTTAGGGTTTAGGGTTTCGGGTTTAGGGTTTAGGGTTTAGGGTTTAGGGTTAGGGTTTCGGATTCAGGGTGGGGGGAGAGGGGTTCACAGGTGCTCGATGTTTGGCGTAGGGCTTTGGGGGGGTTTCGTGGGGTCTAGAGTAGTTTTCTCCGTCCCGAACCCTTAAACCCTAAACCCGAGACCCTAAACCCTAAACCTAGACCCCAACCCTCAAACCCTAAAAGTCTAAACCTTAAGCCCAAACCCCGGTGGGGACCCTGCACCCTACACCGCG